ATGTCCACCATGTACTCGTAATATGCCTGTACTATTTTCTCGTTGAAACCTTTCAACAGATATTCGCGCGAAAGACCGAGATATGCTTGATCGAGCTATAAAGAATTATAAATTTTTATTTACTGATTAGAGAAATACGATTTTGGCTTTGAGAAAAAATATGTATTATTTTATATATACATATATATATCACTTTACTTATTATTACTTTACTTTATATATGATTTTTTATTTATAAATTATTATCTTCATTCCACGTTTATACCGATATTTTAGGATAAATTACGCTATAATTTTGCTTACGTTGATCAAACGTCTCGAATTATTTTTCCAGTCGGCATAAACACCGAAACTGATGAAATAACTAACGGAGTAGCCCAATTTGCGGAAACTGTAGACGGAATCTTTCCAAGTGAAGTTGCCCTCGTTCCATCTTTTTCCGTCCAAAACGGGCCAGCCACCAAGTTTCCTTAGGCTGTTCAATAATGGTGTCAAGCCTCTTTGTTCGATAGCAGCTGAAACAAACAGCATTTAGAAATAAAATAAAAAAGAGTTTTTTGATTTTTTCATTCCTTTTTTGATTGGTATTACGAAATGCTTTAAAAGTAAGGACTTATATAAAATAAATACGATGCATTTATTCTTCTAATACGTTATGCGTTAAAGTATTCCAATTACTTATAAGTAATATTTTTTTTCCGAGAGAAATATAGTAAGGTCAAAGCTTTATATAATTTTGTTTAATTATTAATAAAATTTTTAATTTAATGTTATTGGTGCTATATGATTTTATTGGATTCATTAAATGAGCTTATTGCAATTGTCAAATTTCTCAATTTGTAGGAAAAATTTCATGTCGCGACTGCTTACTTTTGTTCATGCAGGTCTTATACAGATGCTTGACAAGTCTAAATGGTCTCAACTCGTTTGGAGGACTTTCCTGCTCGATACTGAGTCGCAGCTGTTCTTTGAGATCATCACTGATAATAGAAAATGCAGTCACCCTAGTTTTGTCGTCAGGAATAATCCTGGATTCGAGGAAGCCTCCACAGGCGAATTTGTAAAAGTCATCACAAGGGTGCACATTAGGATTCATATTTTTTATTACTTCAGAGGCTGCGATATATGTATGTTGAAATTAGTACAATTCAATATCTCGAGGCGAAATAGCGATTTCTTAGAGTTCGCGAGTGGAATGATTTATAAAATTAATTTATCGCGTATATAAAACATCAAAATTTATATTTCAGTTAAGTATATATTTATATTTAAAATATCTTTGATAAGAAAATATTTTGTAACAAATTTGTTATTATATACCGTGTTATAAATAATAATAGATATAAAATTTCTTCGTTCGCAATCATGATTTGTCCCAAAAGTAATGAGACTATAGTTTTTGTGTGAGAAGGGCTGGGAAAGGAAAACAGCGGTCGAGGCATTTGACGAGGTATCCTAGGTATAGGATATATATAGTCTGACCATTCTCAGACCCTCGGATTGTTATCGAGCCTTTCTAGCAGTCGATACTGTCAACAAAGTGCGTTGTAATTTTTGTGTCTTGTCACGGGCGAAAATTCAGTAGTCTTGAGTAGCGATCAAATTCTGCGTGAAACTGAGAAAATCTGATTACGAAACATTGGAGATGTTGAGAACAGCTTATGGGGATGCTGCTTTGTCTTCAGAATTTAATCGTGTAACACTGCTCAAAATGCAGCACAGTATTGAGCAGCATTCGAGACTATGCTGAATTTTCGTCCGTGAAAAGACACAAAAATTACAAGAATGCTAGAAAGCCTTCGGAGGCAACTGAAAAGGGTCTGCAGTATACTTGAGGTCCCTCGCCAACTATCTCGATCGCCGTTTTTCTTTCCTGACCCTTCTCACGTGCGTACAAAAACTAGTCTCATTATTTTTGGGACAAACCACGTATATCTATTACTCATGATAATGTTTAATCTTGCTAAAAAATTATATTTAAATAGATAGAAATTTTAAATTTCGCCATATTTTACTCACCTGTGTGAATGCATTCAGGTGATAAACACATATCATGGTATTTTGTTTCCTTTAATATCATGTTTTTCGATGTTTCCAAACTGTTTGACACCTCGACTGTAGATAGTAGGAGATGTCTTTTTACGTTAATACTATCAGTTCTCATGCGGATACAGGTACGATTGCAAATGCGAGGAAAAATGAATAATAGCGAGAAATTAACGGATGCGAAGTATGAATGAAACATCACAAGCCGCGACAAAACTTATGTTACATACAGAATGAAATTCGATATGATTTCTACCGTACGATAGAGAGAAATCTTCTTTAATATTATATATTTAAAATTGCAGTTTTATGTTATAAAATAAGTTATCAGAAAACAAAACAAAGTTCATATTAAAAATTTAAAAGTTAAAATGTGCCAGATATACCCCTCCTTAGAATCATATATAAATTGCATTCAATAAGTTTCCTTCTTTTACTTCCAAATTCAAGAGACATTTAAATAATTTGTTTCTTTGCTTTTCTCAGTAAGTTACATATCTTACTATCATTCTAAGACAAAACATATATAAAAAATAACATTCAACATTTTTAATTATAGGTATTTTCTAAGCAGAATCGTTAGGCTCGTAATTTGTTCTCGTGAGATTTGTAAAAATTTATTATTGAATACTTATAACTTTGTGCAATATCTTTACTGATGACTTTTTGCTAGCCATAAGATTTACGAGAAATCATATATACTTATGAATAATCGTACATCTTACGACATGCATAGAATTACAATTCCAGTCACAAGTTCTTATAAATTTTACGAGAACAACTTACCAGCCTTACGATTTTGCTTAGAATTTAAATAAAAAATATCCGAGCAATTTGTTCAAAGCTACATATGATAGAAATTTTTTTCGCGATTTCAATATAAATCTTTAAAAAGCGGAAAGTGTTGCTCTGTGCTTTTCAAACAATAACGCACTTGCAACATATATTGAAAATGACTCGTTGACCGTTGCATTATTGGTTGCTATAAAAGTGCACTTACTGGTCCTGGATGTGCTGTTGCATTTCGTGTTACCTGCCAAAATTCCGAGGGTAACCGTCAAAACGATGCATAAGAGAAACCCGGAAATTGCTACCACCATTAATCCACGTTCTAAATTGGATCGCCTTTTCCACCATGTCGAGTTTCTGCATGAAAAAAAATTAAAAAATGAAGATGGTAAAAAATTGACATAATCAAAATTACATTGTGCCTAAAAAATGTACGTTTGGCATGTAGTTTTTTAAATTTTTGAAAAGAACTACTGCTGCTACTATGGACAATTTCTTTTTTGATGACTATTGCAACTCACCTGACAGCAGTTTCTTCTATGCTGTTGGTCATCGTGATTAGATTAGTATTCTCTATGTCTTGTTGAAATGTATCTTTTTTGCTTGATACTCACTAGCACGTAAGCATCTATTTCTGTGTTCTTTCCTTTTGTGTCCCGGGTTTTTAATTCAATTAGAGATTCACAATCGTTTCTAATCGCGAAGATTTTTAGTGATTCGTAATCACTACGTTATTCTCGTTTCCTTGAAATTTTTTTGTTATTTGGTCAATTCTTTCCGAAGGAAATTGAAGAGAGAAGGAAATTGTAATTTCGAGACTTTCGTAATTTAGATATCAATAAGTTTGGCATCTAGATTT